GTCCTTCCATATCTCGTTGTACATTTAAGTGTATTGTGGGAAGTGAAAATATAGTAGTACTGACTGTAATGATTATTTAATATCTTCATTATATTTTAACAAATTTTATGTACTCAATTTATTATGTGTATATTTTACTATTTTACTTATTTTTAACAATTAGCAATCGAAGAGTTATTGTGGGGGAACGATCTGTCACTCACTATGTCACTCACTAACTCACTCACTCACTTTCCTGTAAACTGCGTTGTTGCCTTAGTAATTTTAACTTTCAATTACTGTATGTTGTTTTGTAGAGGGCGTTGACGAAAGATAGTGTTCGGGTAAACTGTATTTGCCCTTCTTTTACCGACACAGACATGGTAAGATCCGGAGGTTTGGATGATCCAAAGCTACAGGAAAATGCAGCCATTCAATTCATAGCTAAATATGGACTCTTAAGGTAAAGGTTTACATTGGATATCAAGAAAACASATCACCAAGGCAATGGTCAATTTTATCTTTTATTTTTCTGTTCATTTTGCTAGGGGAGTAGATCCCGTTAGCATCCTTCTAAAAATGCACCCTTTCTTAGAACGTATGCTATTTACTTACACAGCCGTAAGCAGTGAACGATTTAGGCTGCACACAGGAGATAGTCCGGGAGCCAGGACCCTGAAAAAATCGTGACGTAGCACATATTTGGTCTGATACCATAAATCAAAAATAGGGTCCTTGTCGATGATTTGACTGCTGACTGTTGCATCCATAGACGCATTACAATAGGTGATGTGTATTTTCTTGGTTATTCARATTTTCCAATTCCTTTGGAAAAAGTGGGTAAAGCATTCTGGTAGTCGTAGTATCGCCAATTTAAGGCTGTCATTAATCTAGTCAATTAATAAGGTTTTTTGTCATTATAGTCCAGAGCTGATAGCAACTGGTGTGATTGAGCTGATTGAAGACGACTCGAAGAATGGTGCTGTAATGCGCGTTACAAAACAAAAGGGCATAGACTATAAGAAATACCATGAGCCCAAATTATAGGGGATTGATATGTATTGTAGCATAGCTCAATATTTTCTCAAGAAAAAATTAATGATTTTAATGAATGTAAAAATGAACAGAATAATAAATAAAATCCATGCAGCAAGACACCGCATAAACAAGTCATGGTTGAAATTAGGTAAAATACGTAACAATAATGATAATAATGACTGAGGTTTTTAGAACGCAACATTTATAAAATCTCATTGCATGTACATAGACTCTAGTAATTGAACGCGGGACTAATTTGCTCAGGTACTAACAGAATAAAAATGTTTTTAAGCAGAGATTTGAAACTGTCTAGTGATGGAGCTGATTTAAACATGCTGGGCTTTTGTTATTTTCACAACTCGATGCATTGCAATATAATGCCTGTTACTTTGGTTGGATGAGATGATGGTCCCAAGCAAAAAGCTGTAAATGCGGAGTTATTTTCTTAACGGAGCTCGTTGATGTTTCGTTTTTAGAGTAAGGGAGGGGG